TGGGCTTCTGTCGCTCGGAGGCGTCGCCTCTTCGGCGTGCCCCAAGTTATGCTTGAAATTGCTTTAAGCAGCAGCAGCAGCGCGCCGGCAACCTTAGAGCCGGGCACCAGGTAGCGGTGCCGCCGCCGTCCAGGCTGGGTCCTCTCCGGGGCGCTGAACAGACCTCGGTGCCCATGGAGAAGGCGCACCCGTGAGCCTGTGGTTGAGAGGCAGCCTTCCACGGTAGGGCTTTGGTTCCTGCGGAGAAAGGAGCACTCGGTGGCTTCACCACACCCTGACTGAGAAGTGATGTCTGCACGGGGGCGATGAAATGATTTAACGTGCCCTTGTCTTCCTCTTTTGTGGTCCTGTGCAGGATCTGGGCTGCCCAGCTGATTTTTTCGGAGTTGAGGTAATGGCTGAAGTTGGTTGGTGGGAGACGGCTGGAGGCCCGGAGCGCAGTTTGGGGGTTGTGCAGTGCCTATGATCTGACCCGCAGCTTCTGCCTTCGCTGGGACCAGCAGGATGGGGAACAGTGGCTCAGCCGTGAAGGTCTGCACCGATCACCAAGGAGGCATCAACTGGCTGAGCCTGAGCCCGGACGGGCAGCGTCTGCTCACAGGTAGCGAGGACGGCACCGCACGGCTCTGGAGCACTGCCGACAGCCAGTGCCATGGCCACTTCCAAGGTACAGTAGCTTCTGTTTGCCCGGTTTCTGAGTCTAAAGCCTGGCACAGGCCACACAGCATGCTCTGGTCTCTTTCAGTCTCTACAGTCTGTTGGGCAGCCAAAATCATGCTTGGTTTGTTTTGTGTTTTTTTGAGTATTGGTTACAGTAATGCTAAGCAGAAGCTGTTTCAACCCAGAACAGGTTACCAGCGCTACTGAATGCATGGATCCTTTTATCTCAGGGTGTGGAACATAGCGGTTGTTTAACTTATGCCTCTTTCTAGAAGCTCTGTGTTTTATACTCTGATGAAATCTTGACTTTTTCCTATTGTCTCTTCTTTTTTCTTTTTTTTTTTTCCTTTGTCCTTTTAATCATCTCATTTTCCAGCCAATCTTTATTTAGAACCTCTTGACCCAGAAATCTGGAAAGAAACCTTACCAAGTAGGCTGTTTCCCCCCCACATACAGGAATGTTAATTGCCAGGCTTTTTCATTTTAAATTGATTTTGCATTTTAAACAAAATTTATTATCCTCAGACTAGCATCTCAGTAATTAAAAACTGTTCAGTCATGCAGGAGTCAGATGTGGGCCAAAGATGTTTGTGTTCTCACTCACTCGTGTTCTTTTCTCGTAATACAGAAAAACAGAAGGCTCTTAAATTTGGAATTTCTCATCCTTTTTTCTTCCAAAAGTAAACATTGCTGGGATTTTTTCATTGTTGGTTGTTTGCTTGCTTGCTCACTTGTTTTTAACTTCGGAGTATTGTCTTTATTCCCCACATCCTGCCATGGTTCTAGCTCCTGGAAAACTCACTGCATTTGCTAGGGCTTAGAAATCCTTTTAAACCACTAATTAACTCTTAGCTAGAAAGAGAAGTATATTGGATTATATTCAGAATCTGGCCTATATACTGCTAGTGTTTGGGATAAACTCTAGAGGAGGTTGGCTAGATGGTTTGTGAACTGTCAGTCAGATCAGATAATTGAATATATTTTGCCTTTATGCATGCACACAGTTGTGTAAATTAGTATTGTGCAAGCTATAATTACTGATAAACCTGTATCTGTAACATAGTTTCAAGCTTCCACTGCAGACAGCGTAACCAACAGGTTTCTGTGGTGGCTGTTTTTGACCAGAGCAGCACCAGACCTTGTCCACCACAGGGGGTTTTGGCATCCTTTGGATGGCATGAGTATTATTGATGGTTAAAATGTGACTGACAGACTCTGGTGCAGTAACTAAGATGCTTTTTTGATCTTCTCAGAGCAGGGTTACATGATGCTGTGAGGAAAATGCTGCTGGTTGAAACCTGTCCCATTTAAGCTGCACTGCAAAAAAAGTTTTCACAGAAATGTGAGGATGGCAATGGTTTTGCTTATAGCCCTGGTGATCTCTTTAATTTTTGACATCTGGTGAATTTGCTTAAGAGGGAACAAGATGTGTGTTTGTAACGTGGATTCTGGTTTGCTTTTGAACTACAACAAGGCTTTTGAACTACAGGAGTTTTAATAAAATCCAGTTTTTGCTGTCAGTGAAACAAAGTGTTTCACTGGGCAGTCTGCTTTCCCTCAGTTTTTTTACTGCGCCTTTAGTCTACAACATGGTTCTGTTTGTCCAGTATCTTTTTCTGTCCATCTCTACCCACGTTTGTCCTTATATTTTTTCTTCTCAAAGAATAGTGAGTGTTCTTTAAATCACAGCAGGGCCCACCAGCTTCAGCCAAAATCTGGGGCTCTGTTTTGATAGTTCCTTATCTTGCAATCTGAATAATAAGACAGCAGCATGCAAGATGATACCATCCCAACGATTAGATCGGTGACAACAATTTCACACGAGATCTTGGACAAAGCTGGGACTTGAATCTAAGGTGATTTTAAAAAATGTGTATTTAATGATACAATAGAAAAATGACACATCTTACTAAGCAACAACAAAAGCTTAAGGTTTTAATATTGTTTCCTCCTTGCTAGCTGTTTTTCACCATGAAATTTTTAGAGTAGCAGTTGTGTCAATTTTTACTGTAACCGTAGAGTCCCAACATACTCGGAATGCTGTACAAATAATTGTGCTCTTATTCTTTCTTTCTTTGTCATTTCCTTAAAGGTATACTGATATTTTGAAAATTGTAGGGTTTATTCATGTTGTTTCTCATAATGGGGAAAGTACTGGCTGATTTTTTACCAGATATGTTTTTTTGTTTGCGTTCATTCTGCTTGGACAATGAAACTAAACTTGCTGGTAAGTCTCATGCTGCTTCCTTTTTTCTTAGTTCCATGCTTTAATTTAGAGCTGTTTGTGTCCAGACAATCACCAGGCTGGGTTGAAATGCAGCCTTTTTTTCGTGAATTCACAGGAAGGAAGCAAAACCATTTCTTTAATAAAAAAAACCCCACAGATTTTACTGATTTGAAACTTTAGGAGTCTGTTATACTAATATATATAATGTTTTATTCTTTCACTTAGTCCTTATATCAATGAAGTGGAGTTTTCTGCTGTTAATTAGAAATTTTGTACAGATCCTTAAATGTGGAGAGCATGGTGGTGCATTTAAAACCAGAGCTTCGGTCAGTTTGTTTGTTGTATTTCTCTTTTAGTTAAGGTGAAGAGCTCGACCAGCCTGTCCTGCTTGCGTGTGCAGTGGTTGCATTTATTTCCTTTGTTATTCCCAGGACATGAAAGCTACATCACCTTTTGCCACTTAGAAAACGAGGCTGCCTTCACCTGTAGTGCAGATCACACCATTCGAAAGTGGGATGTGGTGACAGGTCAGTGCCTGGCCATTTACCGAGGACACACTTCAATTGTTAACAGGTTGGTTCTGTGGAGCTCTTCCTTTGTGTTCCCGTAATCTGTTATCGCATATATTGTCGTTTTACTGCAATTCTCCGTTACTACACTAATAAAATGGGTTGTGTAAACCTTTGAGTTCATGCCACACGTGTTCTGTGCTGCAGTGATTAAGTTTTCCTAGCAACAGTGCTGACACATCCGTAGAGAGCAGATAGGAGAGAAATGAAAGGCACACAGCAGGGGAATTGAATCCAGGGCTAGGAATGAAATTCCAGAAGAAATTATTCAATTGATAACAGATGCTTCTGATAAATAGATGTAAAAACATCACGTCAAGCCTTTGTGTCAGGAAGAGGGATAAAGTCAGGGCTTTTTCTGGAATTACTATTCCTGTTTGTGCAACTGAAGTTTAATATTAAACTGCTTGTGCGTGACTGATTGGTCCGTCAATTTAAAGTGCCTCTTAATAGTTGGACTGGATTTAATTAATAAGCAGTCAAAGATTGTTTTTTTTAATTTTTACTTACTTTTTTTTTTGGTGAGTGGGTTTTTATTTTGTTAGTTACTAAACTCAAAACACACAGGATGTGTAGCCAGATTCTGTAAATGGTTAGGAAGGTGGCTCTGTCTGTATTTTGGCACTGGCCTGATTTTTTGCTTGAATCAGCATATGGGAAATATGTTCCCTATTCATTTGATTTTGTTGCCAGTTTGAAAGGTTCCAGAGGACCAAACTCAGCTGACAAAGACGACAGGTTATTATGTTCCCCATCTCTGGTTTGGAAATACAAACTGTAGAGGTTTTTCTGTTGTTGTGTGTTTGTGCTGCTACAGCTCATTATTTTGGAGGTCCAGTACGTTGAGTTAGTGAGCTGTAACCTCTGATTTACTCTTTGGTTATGTAGTAAGTGGGGTGCTCTTGCTCTACCTTTTTTGAGATCCTGGGCTAAGTGAAGTTGGGTGTATATTATTTTTTCCTGCACTTTCCCTATTGGATAATGGAAAGATGATTATCTTTGCACACTGTCAGTTACAGTTCAGGTTCCTGGTGTGTACTTTTTTGTTACTTTATTTCCAAGCTGTTTTCATAGGTCAGTTTATAAATAATTATTTGAAAAGAAATACTAATAAGTAACTCTCAGGAAGGAGTTCTTAAAAAAACCCAACAACTCAACCCAAAACCAGCAAACAACAAAACCCGCAACAAACTCTTAGTTAGCTTGTGTAACTTATGAAGAGTTAGTGCTGCTGGAAAAGATTTTAGAAAAACACAAATGCCCAGAGCTACAGTGCTGTAGTGCTGAAATGTCTGAATCAATGCACCTGAATAAGAGGTCTCAATTTTAGAAGTAGAAACAGGGAAGTCTTTGCTTTTTTTAAAACAAAAACCAAAAATAAAGTTCATAAGCAATGTTTGTTAAGCAGGGATGCTGAATTGGGGTTATGTATGTTGTGTTCGTGCTACTGTTTCTGACTTCAGCGTGCTTGGCATTGAAATTGTGACAAAGAATAGTTATGTAAAGAGAATGATACTGTTCATACAGGCAAACTGTATTTTTCGCAGGATCCTGGTCGCCAAGGACTATCTCTTCAGTGGCTCCTATGACAGGACAGCCCGCTGTTGGAGTGTGGACAAGGAGAAACAAATCCAGGAATTCCGGGGCCATCGGAACTGTGTCCTGACTCTGGCTCACTATTCCTCCCGGGATGTCCTTGAGGAGGAGGAGGAGGAAGAGGAGGAGGAGGAGAAAGTGAGCAGAGACCTCCTGGTGACAGGTAGCACAGACTGCACTGTTAAGGTCTGGTGGGTGTCCAGCGGGCGCTGTTACCAGACTCTGCTGGGACACACTGGGGCTGTCTTATGCCTTATACTTGACGCACCAAACAGGGAGCTGTTTTCTGGCAGCACGGATTATACCATTCGAACGTGGAATATTGTCACTGGTGAGCAGCTGAAGGTGTTCAAAGAGCATCAAGGATCAGTGATTTGCCTAGAGGTAAGAATGGAGGCTTCTTAAAAAGCCATTCAAAAAGGATGTCCATATCCTAACTTGCGTTGGTCTCATCTGTCTTTTCATTCATAAAGAAGCTTTTCTGAGACAGGTTATAGATAGTAAGCTTAAAACAGTAATGTAATAATAAAATAACAGTGCTCTGTGCTCTTGAGGCAACCCCTCTTTCAATGCTTTCTGGTATCCTCTTGGCTATCCTGGTCTAGCTTCTACCTCAGTATCTGTTTAAATCCTCCTGGGTCTTGAAACTCGTGAGTAAGGTAGCTAGGAGGACTCTTCTTCTGAGTAGAATTGCATATACAGGATCACCACACTTTGAAGAAAAACAACTTGAGCTGGTGGTTGTGCAAGCAAACAGACAGAGAGGGTCAGATAACTTAAAGAGGAGGGGTGGAAAAAATCAGAGTAAAAAAAATATCACAAAGCCCAAAAACCATGCCAAAATTGTGGGCAAAAGATAATAGGAAAGCATAAAGCTGAAAGAAATCCTGCTTTTAAAAACCACACAGACATAATTCAGGAAAAGAAAGGGAGAAAGAGATGGCCAAGATGAGAGAATGGGCAAGGAAAATGGAAAAGGAGTAAAGCATGGGGGAGAGAAGTCAGGAAATAATGAAGGAGAGCGGGGAAAAAAATTAATGTGACCTGAAAAGCTATACCCTGTTTTTCTGTTTGCAGTGTTTTTCGGGTGAATGCTGCCAGGTTTGTTAATGTTGCAGAGGAGAGGAGGTTAGGCAGACGAAGGAAAAGGGGAACTATTGCACAAGTACTTGTCCTGTACACTCCATTATCCCCCAGCAAATGTTAATGGTATATTTAAAGAGGTTATATGATGGTCTATAGCTTGGTTTCAGGTCAGCAAACCTTAAATATTTATAAGTGTCTGTGTCTGGAGTTGATGGCAGTAGTTTTTCTTGCTACTCTCCTTGTTTGCGTTTGTTGTCCCTAAGTGCTTTTCCTTTACAGAGGCTACAGTATGTATTTTTAATAGCTGTTTAATAAAAGTTGCCTCTTGTTTCTGAAGAAGGTCGTCGCAGCCAACACTAGCAGTCTAAAAACTCCATAGTACTGAAGGCATTCTATTTTCCTTCAGTTTTAGAAAGGAAAAAAAAAAAAACAAACCCCCCACACAATCATGTTGCCCTGGAGTAACGTTTATCTTGCTTGGGTAAATTCTCAGTGCTAAAGCTTATTTTTATGATATTGTGGTAATGTATTCTGAGGATGCTCAAGTAAGTCTGTTGCTGTTTGTAGTGTCACGCTATGTTTTGCTGTTTAATTGTAACTTTTCTCCAAAGCGCAGATTGGCAACAACAGAGGTTGCTTTAATGTAATTGGGTTCATGCTAAAATTGTTACACAAAACTGGCTTGACCCTTTCCCAGAAGCCTGGGAAATTCAATTACACTCTTTGAATGCTCAGGAATGAGCAATGCTTCTCCGATTGTGAGCACAGGCTTAAACAATGGTTTTAAACAAACACAACTTCTTGCAGGGGAGAAGAAAAGCAAAACCAACGCATGCGTTTGGAAAACCCAAACAATTCAGAGTACCCGAGACTGCTGCTGCCAAGACTCTGCTGGCAACTGTCCTGGCCAAATCTTCTTTAGCTGTGAGGAACTGGTAGTCCCTCACTTCTCTCATCACCAGTCGGTGTCTGAGGCTGGAAGAGTCCAGCTGAGGTACATACTGCCCCCACAGAGAGTGTTTCATTTCTAGGCCTCTAAAACGGTATCCCAGTTTAAGCAGT